CTCCATCCCAGGGGATGTGCAGGGGTTGTGCTCCATCCCAGGGGATGTGCTCTGCACCCCGACCTGGGCAGCACCATCAGCCCCTGCTGCTCCAGTCGGGAGTGGAAAACAAAGCAAAACCGGGGAGAAATAAACAAAAAAAAACCCAAACCAGGGCGGGGGGACGTTTGGGAAGAGCCGAGGAGTTTTCCAAAGCCTCTTCCCGGCCAGCAGCCAGAGCCAGTGTGGCATCTCCTGGGTCTGGAGCCGCTGTCCTGCCGCCCCTTCCCGGCTCCGGCGTGTCCCGGCTGGGGCTGCTCGGGGAGCGGGAGGAGTGCTGACTCACTCCCAGCCTCCTCGGCTGCCGGATCCCGGCGGCCTGGCTCCCAGATTAGCTCCTTCCCACCCAGCTGCTCCAGGAAATCCCTCGGGAACTGGAGCTCGGGGAGCGCAGCCGCGGCCGTGGTCGGCGAGTCCCTGCCACGTGCCGGGGGGAGCCCCCGGGGAGGGGGGGAGACCCCCGGGGACAGATCCCGTGGGGATGATCCTGCCCTGGGGGAACGTTGTGCTGAGGGATCTCCCCTTCTCCCCCCAGGAGAGCCGAGGGATCGGTGCCTTCCAAGCTCTCCAGTGGGTCCGGCAGCACCGGGGCCATGACGAGCCGTGGGGCCGCCAGGCCCAACGGGCAGTCCCAGGCCAGTAAGATCTGCCAGTTTAAACTGGTGCTGCTGGGAGAGTCGGCCGTGGGCAAGTCCAGCCTCGTGCTGCGCTTCGTGAAGGGGCAGTTCCACGAGTACCAGGAGAGCACCATCGGGGGTGAGTCCCGTTGAACACGAGCCCAGGCTGCGAATCCCTCCCGGGACACGAGTGGGGGCGCAGGGAGGGCTCCCCGGAAGGACTTGGGATGCGGGGAAGGACCTGGGGTGCAGGGGTGGCTCCCCCCGGCCGTCACTGACCCCCCCCTCCCGGCAGCGGCGTTCCTGACCCAGTCCGTGTGCCTGGACGACACGACGGTGAAGTTCGAGATCTGGGACACGGCGGGGCAGGAGCGGTACCACAGCCTGGCCCCCATGTACTACCGGGGCGCCCAGGCCGCCATCGTGGTCTACGACATCACCAACCAGGTGGGGCAGGGGCTCGGGGGGGTCCTGTGTCCCCACAGGGGTGGGAATCGTCCCTGAATTCCCACCTCTGCTGCAGGAAACGTTCGCGCGGGCGAAGACATGGGTGAAGGAGCTGCAGAGACAAGCCAGCCCCAGCATCGTCATCGCCCTGGCCGGCAACAAGGCTGACCTGGCCAGCAAACGCATGGTGGAGTATGAGGTGAGGGGCCTCCTGGGGGTCCCGGGGCCGGGGGCGCTCCCGGGGCCGGGAGGTGCCGGAGCTGACGGGTCCCGTCCGTGCAGGAGGCGCAGGCGTACGCGGACGACAACAGCCTGTTGTTCATGGAGACGTCGGCCAAGACAGCCATGAATGTGAACGACCTCTTCTTGGCCATCGGTGAGGCTCCCCGGGGGCACGGGGGGGGCTGGTTGTCCCACCCCCAACGGGCTTCTTGGGAGGCTGAGCAGGGCAGGGGGGGTTGTGCCAGGGCTGGGAGGGAGCAGCGCAAAGGGAAGCGGCTCCTTCTCACTGGGAAGGGCCCAACTGGAGAAAAGGAGGCTCAGGGGGGACCTTCTTGCTCTCCACAACTCCCTGACAGGAGGGGGGAGCCAGGGGGGGGTCGGGCTCTGCTCCCAGGGAACAAGGGACAGGAGGAGAGGGAACAGCCTCAAGCAGTGCCAGGGGAGGGTCAGGCTGGACATCAGGAGGAATTTCTCCATGGAAAGGGTGCTCAGGCGTTGGCAGGGGCTGCCCAGGGAGGTTTGGAGTCCCCACCCCTGGAGGTGTCCAAGGAAGGACTGGACATGGCACTCAGAGCTCTGGGCTGGGGGACAAGGTGGGCATCGGGCACAGGGGGGATCCATGGGCTGGGAGGGCTTTTCCCAACCTCAAGGATTCTGGGATTCTGTGCTGAGGTGACTCAGCCGGGTCGCCCCTCCCAGTCCCACCTCCCAGTCCCACCTCCCGTGTCCCCCCTCCAGCCAAGAAGCTGCCAAAGAACGAGCCCCAGAGCACGAGCGGCGCCGGGGGCCGGAGCCGGGGCGTGGACCTGCACGAGCAGAGCCAGCAGAACAGGAGCCAGTGCTGTAGCAACTGAGCCAAGATCCCACCTCCATCCCCGTCCACGCCGCACCTCCACCCCGGCACCGAGACCCCTGAACCAGGACCCTCCCAGAGCTCCTCTAACTGCACTTTTTAATGCTTCGAAGCCACCACTCGGCACCCGATCCCACCTGGCACCCGATCCCACCTGGCACCCGATCCCACCTGGCACCCGATCCCACCGGCTCCCGATCCCACCGGCTCCCGATCCCACCACCCCACCCACCACCCCGGAGGCAGCGGAGCCAGATCAGCTGGGACTTAACTTCTGAGAAACAACGAACTCTTCTTCACTTTGTATTATAGGTGCAAATAGCGCCCTAACGCTCGGATTCCTCCCTCCATCTCCCCCTCTCCCCCTCCCTCTCTGCTTTGGGAAATCTGGGTTCCCCAAACTGCCCCCTCCTGCCCCCACCCCGGTGTGGGGGGTCCCCGGGGGGCGGCAGCACCGACCTCGCCGCTTCTCGTCGCGCCGAACCGGCCGGAACCAGAGCCCTGCGGAGCCGACGGGGCTTTTCCACGGGGTCTGTCACGGATTTCTCCGGAATTTTTATTATTTTCTCCCCCCTCCTCTTTCCCGTTGGGCTGTCGGGGAGAGGGAAGCTGCAGTGTCCTTCATTTCTTCCGAGGTGGCCTTTTTGATGGAAGATTGGAAGTGCCTGGGGACTTTTTTTGGGAGGGGGGCAGTGGGTTCCTGCCGGACCCCGAGCGCTGCAGGCGACCCCTCCCCAGTGCCCGCCCTCGCTCCACTGTGTTATGGCTCTGTGGACATGTCCCCACAGTCACCCCGGCTGTGGCCACCCACAGTGGTGTCCCCATGGTCACCCCGGCTGTGGCCACCCCAGAGTGGTGTCCCCACAGTCAACCCGGCTGTGGCCACCCCGTAGTGGTGTCCCTACAGTCACCCCGGCTGTGGCCACCCCACAGTGGTGTCCCTACAGTCACCCCGGCTGTGGCCACCCCACAGTGGTGTCCCCACGGTCACCCCGGCTGTGGCCACCCCACAGTGGTGTCCCCATGGTCACCCTGGCTGTGGCCACCATGTCCCCCTGGTGATCCCGGCTGTGGTGGCCCCCCAGGTGCCCGCAGTGATCCCACCCCACGGGTGACATCCCCCCAGTGATGCTGGTGGCCACCCCACAGGTGACGCGATCCCAGCTGTGGCTGCCCCACGGGCGATGTCCCCCTGCTCATCCTGACCTCGGTGATCTTGGCCACGGCCACCCCACAGGCTGTCCCCTGCTCCTGGTGATCCCAACCCACATCCACGTCCCCCTGGTGCTCCCTCTGATCTCCACGGTTTGTCCTGGTCCTGGTTTGCACTTTAGTGGTGAAATGTCCTGTTGAGACTCACCTCGGTTCTGTTCGTGTGTCCGGGGGGTGCCGGGGGGGCAGCGGTGCCACCACCCTCCCCTTGTCCCTCTGCTTTTCCCTACGGAACTTCTGGAGCTGGAGGGACCCTCAGTGGTGGGGTGGGACAGGCGAGGTCCCCCGTCCCAGGTGCTGCCGCACAAGGGGACACCCCAAAATGTGGACACCCCAAATCAGGGACACCCCGAACTGGCAGCACCCACCTGGGCCTGGCTCCCTGCTGGCAGCGTGGGGGGCTCTGGGACCCCTTGGGCCCGGGGGAACTGGGGGGGCCGTGGGGCAGAGGGACCAGTCTCATATGAAGCCCCCCAGCGTGGGGGCAGAGCCCACAGGATTTCAGCCCCTCCCGCTGCCGGGGCAGCCCCCCAGGGACCCTCTGGCCGCCGTTCTGGTGCTCCCAGTGCTTCATGTCACGGCCTGGGAGCCCCCCGAGTGGGTGACACGTATTTAACAAGGGCTGGGGACCCCAGACCCCCTCCCCATCTTCTAGCCCAAACCCTGGACCAAATGAGGGACACTGCAGCTTCTCTCACTCTTTTTTTTTTTTCTCTTTTTTTCTGCTTTTTCTCTTATTATTGTTATTATTTTTGCTTTGGGAAAGCTCCTCCATCGCAGTGAAATAACAATCGTGGTAACAGAACTCGGCCGCTAATTTACCGATGTATTTAATGTAAGTAAAACCAAACCGAACAACAAAAACAGAAGGAAAACAGCAAAAAAAAGAACTTTGTGTGCTCAGGGCGGGGTTTTGGGGCGGGGGGGGGTGACTTGGACCACGCAGCCACCCGCTGTTGGCACGGGGCAGGAGCCGGAGCCATCCGGTGCCAGCAGCCGGTGTGAGATCGCGGCTCTGCCCTGATAAGACTTATCGGAGCTCCCAGCTGGGTGGCGGCCGCCGGGGCTTTGACCTTGTCGGGACAACCGGTACCGGCACCGGGGCAGCGCTGCCCGCGGAGACCCGAACGCGGGGCCGCTTTAAGCCCCCCAAGGGCTGGGGCCGCTGTTGCCCCTTTAAGCCCGGGCTGGTGGGGCCCACTCTCCGGTGAGGCCACGCCCACGCGGCCCCGCTAAGGTAAACAGAGAGGGCGTGGCCAGGGGGCTCACCCCCCTTGAGACCCCGCCCCTCGCCCCCCTCTTAAAGCGGCAGCGCCGCTGGGACGTCGCGGGAGCGGAACCGTTACGCAGGTGGGCGACGGGGGCAACCGGGACACGGCCGGGACCGGGCTGGGGCTGGGGAGAGGGGAGAACCGGGACCGGGATGGGGCTGGGGAGGGGGGAGCACCGGGACTGCGCTGGTGGAGGGAGCACCGGGACTGGGATGGACCGGGCGGTGGGAAAACTGGGAGTGGGACCGGGCTGGGGTTGGCGGGGGGGGAGAGGAGGGTTTGTCACACGCGGATGTCCCACATTCCTGCTTCCCCCGGGAGCGTCACCGGAGCCGCTTCCCGGTAACGGCGTCCGGTGACCGTTCCAGCCGCTCTCTGTCTCTCTCCCGTTCAGGAGCCGCCGCGATGCTGCTGCTCCGGGCCGTCGTGGGGCGCAGGTAAGAGCCGCCCGCCCCGTCAGGGCTCCCCGGTGCCCGCCGGGGCCCGGTGTGAGCCCCCGCTGTCCCCGCAGGCTCCCGCCGCTGACGCAGCTCCGCCGCGGCTCCTCCCGGTTCGCCGCCGGTGCCGCGGCCGGGGGGGGACGCCGGGGGGCGGCCCCGGTGCTGGCGGCGCTGCTGGGGCTCGGGGCCGTCCTCGCCTACGGAGAACGGCGGCGAAGGGTGAGCGGCACCGGGCGGGCTGAGTGCCGGGATGGCGGGAGAAGTACCGGGGGGGCGGCACCGGGGGGGTCCTGCGGGGAGGGGTGACACCCCTGGGTCCTTCCCTGGGACGGGGGCAGCGGGGTGGGGGGATCCCGGGGAAGGGGCAGCACCAGGACGGGGGGTCCTGGGGATACAGCACCGCGGGGGGGGGGATCCTGAAAAAAGAGGTGGCCCCCGGGGGGGGGAGAAGGGCACTGGATCCTGGAAAGGGGTGACACCGGGACACGAGGTCCCGGGGATGGAGAACCGGGGGGATGGATCGCAGGGGAAGGGGGTGGTGCCGGGGAGTGGATCGCGGGGGAAAGGAGTGGCAGCGGGGTGAGGGGTGGATCCCGGGGTGGGGGGAACGGCACCGAGCCAGCGGGGTCTGAGGGATACAGTACCGGGGGGTGGGGGGGAGGATCCGGATCCTCTGGGACCCCCTCGGTTCTTCTCTGGAACGGAGACAGCGAGTTTAGCTGCGGAGGGGGCAGGGGGTGCCCCTTCCCCTCCCAACTGTGGGTCACCTCAGCAAGGGCCTGATTTTGGGGGGACACCCCAAAGTCCTGGGCGGGGGGGGAGCCCCGGGGAAGGGTCCTCGGGCGCAGCGTCCCCCCCTGACGGGGCCGGGGTCCCGCAGAGCGCCCAGGCAGCCAAGGCCACCCCGGCCCCCCGGTACCCCGTGTACACACGGGAGGAGGTGCGGCGGCACCGCAGCCCTGGGGACCGGGTGTGGGTGACCCACGGCACCGAGGTCTTCGATGTCACCGACTTTGTGGAGCTGCACCCGGGGGGCGCCGACAAGGTGCTGCTGGCGGCCGGGGGGGCCCTGGAGCCCTTCTGGGCCCTCTACGCCGTGCACAGCCAGCCCCACGTGCTGGAGCTGCTGCGGGAGTACAAGGTGGGCGAGCTGAGCCCCGAGGAGGCCCCACCGAGCCCCGACGCCGCCCAGGACCCCTTCGCCGGGGACCCCCCCCGGCACCCGGGGCTGCGCGTCAACAGCCTGAAGCCGTTCAACGCGGAGCCGCCGGCGGAGCTCTTGACCGAGAGCTTCCTGACGCCCAACGAGCTCTTCTTCACCCGCAACCACCTGCCCGTGCCCGCCGTGGACCCCGGCTCGTACCGGCTGCGGGTGGAGGGCCCGGGGGGCCGCGCGCTGTCGCTGTCGCTGCCGGAGCTGCGGAGCCGCTTCCCGAAGCACGAGGTGACGGCGACGCTCCAGTGCGCCGGGAACCGCCGCGCCGAGATGAGCCGCGTGCGCCCCGTCAAGGGGCTGCCCTGGGACATCGGGGCCATCAGCACCGCGCGCTGGGGCGGCGCCCGCCTGCGGGACGTGCTGCTCCACGCCGGCTTCGGCGAGCGCCGCGACGGCGAGTGGCACGTCTGCTTCGAGGGGCTCGACGAGGACGTGGGGGGGGCTCCCTACGGAGCCTCCATCCCCTACGGCCGCGCCGTCAGCCCCGACGCCGACGTGCTCCTGGCCTACGAGATGAACGGCGAGGAGCTGCCGCGCGACCACGGCTTCCCCGTGCGCGTGGTGGTGCCCGGCGTGGTGGGCGCCCGCAGCGTCAAGTGGTTGCGGCGCGTGGCCGTGAGCCCGGCCGAGAGCCCCAGCCACTGGCAGCAGAACGACTACAAGGGCTTCTGCCCGTCGGTGGACTGGGACACGGTGGATTACCGGACGGCGCCGGCCATCCAGGAGCTGCCGGTGCAGTCGGCCATCACGCAGCCGCGGCCGGGCGCGGCGGTGCCGCCGGGCGAGCTGGCGGTCAAGGGCTACGCGTGGAGCGGCGGCGGGCGCCGGGTGGTGCGGGTGGACGTGTCGCTGGACGGCGGGCGCACGTGGCGGGCGGCCGAGCTGGCGGGGGAGCGGCCGGCGCCGGGCCGGGCCTGGGCCTGGGTGCTGTGGGAGCTGCGGGCGCCCGTGGCGGCGGGCGCGGAGCTGGAGATCGTGTGCAAGGCCGTGGACGCCAGTTACAACGTGCAGCCCGACACCGTGGGGCCCATCTGGAACCTGCGCGGGGTCCTGAGCAACGCCTGGCACCGCGTCCGCGTCACCGTCACCCGCTGAGCCCCCGGACGGCCCCGGCGCGTGGGACGCGGGGCTGCGGCTCGAAGGTCGCCGGGTTTTATGGCCCCCGGCACGTGAAAGCGGCTCCATAAAGATTTGGGAAGTTTTATGGACTTGGCTGTTTCCTGGGGCAGCGAGGGCACGGCGGGACGGGGAGGGGAGGGGTGGGTGGGTCTGGGGACCTCACAGAGCCCCCCTGGACCCCTCGGAGCGGCTGCCAAGGGTCACCCTGTGCACAGGTGACCTTGAGACCCCCTGAATGGGTGGGAGCCCTTGATCCTGTGGGACCCTCTGACGCTGTGGGACCCCCGACCTTAAATAACCCCCTGACCCAAGGGACCCCTTGCTTCTATGGGGCACTGTGGCCTTATAGGACCCTGTGACCCTCTGGAACCCCCTGACTGTATGGGATCCCCTGATCCTATAGAGCCCTGTGACCCTGTATAACCTCTGACCTTAAATAACCCCTTGATCCTATGGGACCCCTTGATCCTACAGGACACTGTGACCTCGTGGTACCCCCTGACCCTAAATAGGCTCCTGCCCCAATGGGACTCTGTGACCTTATAAGACCCCATGAACACTATGGGACCCCCTGACCCTCTTAGGGCCCTGTGGCCCTGTGTAACCCCCTGATCCTAAATAACCTGCGACCCCATGGGACCCTCAACCCTAAATAACCCTTGACCCCATGGGACCCCAAACCCCAAATAACCCCCAACACTAAATAAGCCCTGACCCCAAGGGCCCCCCCGGCCCTTCCTGCCCTGGGGACCCCCCGATACCTCCCAGCCCGTCCCTGCCCTGTCGGCCATCCGTGCTCGGTATTGATCACCAGCTATTGGCTACTGGTTCTCAGTAAATGAGCACCGATATCGACCCTTGGTTACCGATCACCGCCTATCAATTCCTGGTTATTGATCACCGGCTATCAGCCCTCGCTTATGCATCACCGGCCGTCGATCCTTGGTTACCGATCACCGGCTATGGGCCCCCACTGATCGATGCCGGGCCATCGATCCTCGCTCATCCCTCCCCTCCCTCCCAATCCCCCGCCGCGCCTTCCCCATCGACGCTCTCGGCGCTCGGCTGAGCCCCCGCGCCTGCCCCCCCGCGGCCCCGCTCGATGCGCTCGGCGCTCGGCGGCGCGGGCTGGCGGGGCCGGAAGTGGCTCGGGGGGGGGCCCGGGGCCTCCTCAGGTGGAGCCGCCGCCGCCGCCGCTCCCGGACCCCCCTGAGCCCCCCAGGGCCGGGCCGGGCCGGGGGGGCCTCCCGAGCCCGCCCCCACCCCGCCGGTGAGAACGGGACGGGACGGGGGGCGGGGGGGGCTGGTTTGGGGGGCGGGGGGCTCTTGGCGGGCGGTGGGTCGGGGGCGCGGTGTCTGTCCGTCCGCAGGGGTGTGTTGGGGGGGGCTGGTTTGGGGAGGGGTCCGTGTCCCCCCCCGGCGGGTGTCAGGAGTTTCTTTGGGGGAGCTGTTTTTGGGGTCCGTGTCCCCCCGGGGGGTGTCAGGGGTCGGTTTGGGGGGGCTGGTTGGGGGGGTCGGGTGCTGAGCGGGGTCTGTGCCGGGGGGGTCGGGAAGGGAGGGGAACCGGGAGGATTTGGGGGCTGTGACACCGCGAGGGGGGGGCGGCTGCGCCCCGAAATCCCCCCTGAGCCCCCCCGTTTTGAGGGGGGTGTGTCCCCCCCTCAAACACCCCCATTTGTGGGGGGGACCCCCAGGTGGGACCCACCCCCGAGCGATCCATGGAGAGGTATTTGTGGGAATAACGGGGCTCCCCCGGGGACGTCCCAACGTGCCCGGGGGGGTCCCGCCCTGCCCTGGGGGGGTCCCGCCCTGCCCGGGGGAACAGCGGAGCCCCCACCGCAATTCCTGGGCTTTTCCTGCTCCGTCCCCGGGATCGTTCCCCCCCGTTTCCCTCCCTTCCTCCTGCCCCCATTTTTTGGGAGATGGGATTTTGGGCGGGGGGGGGCTCATAGGAGGGTCTGGGGGTTTGGGGGAGCCCCTGTTGCCCCCCCGAACGCTCCTGCCCGGGGGGCTCCGGGGCTGCTTTTCCCGGGCAGAGTTTCCCCCTCCAGCCCGGGGAAATTCCAGCCCGGGAATGCCGGAGTCTCCTCCCTGTCCCTGGCACGGGACGCTGGGATTTGACCCCCCCTTCCCCCCTTACTGATCCCCCCAGGCAGGGGGGATTCCAGGGAGGCTCTGGAATCCACCGGGATGGGCAGCACGTGGCTCCGGATGGGATAACCCCCCCCCCCATCCCGGTGCTCCCGACCCTGTTCCCGCTGGGACCCTCCCACTGTGCCGACCCCTAAATTATTCCATGTCCATTCCAACCCTTGCCCGGAGCTCCGGGGGGATTCCCGGAGGAGGCTCCTGGGAAAGCTCCGGGGAATTCCCGGAGGAAGCTCCTGGGAAAGCTCCTGAGGTGAAACCTCTTTGCCGTGGGACCCTCTGGATCCTTGGAGGGGGTGGGGGGGTTCAGGGACCCCCCCGGGGCCGGGGGTGTCCCGGTGTCCCGCCGGGAAGGCCGAGCCACGTCCCGGCAGAGCCAGGAAAAGGGATTTTTAGCCTCATCTTGGGCTTTTGCTTCCGAGGACTCCGGGAAACCTGAGCCCAGGGAGCCCCGGGGAAGGTGCCAGCGGCTCCCGATCCCGGGGGAATGGCGATCCCGAGGGAACGGCGGGGTTATCCCGGGGCACAGGACGGGAGCGAGGAGGGAGCTCCCAGCAGGGCGTTCGTTTCTGGGCTCCCGGTGGATCAGCTCCAGTTCAAACCCCGTCGGAGGAGCCGGGAGTGAGGCCGGAGCTCCGTCCTGTCTGTCTGTCTGTCCTGGAGCTTCTCCCCCCTCCCTGGCTCCCCTGGAATGGTTTTCCAGCCCTCCCGGGGTGATTTACTGCGCGGTGCCCCCGGGGTTGGATCCCAGACAAAGGCACGGGGAGAAAACATCCCCCCGGGTTGGCTCGGAATCCGAACTTCCCTGGAGCTGCAGGATGCTGGGAGGGAGCTGCAGGATGCTGGGAGTGTGCCGAAAGTGAGGAATTTCGTGCTGTTCCCCGTTTTGGGATGGTTTCTCCGGGAAGGGCTGATGTCCGGCCAGAGCTGCTCCGGCGGGGAGGAGCTTCTCCAAACAGGGAGTATTAGGGAAAAATAACATCCCTGCTCCCATGGGAAGCAGCGCCTGGAGTCCCCGCCCGCAGCTGGGCCCCGTGGCCACCCCCGGGCTGGGATTTGTCTGGAATTTCATTCCCTGCTTTAGCCACAAAAAGGGTGGAATTTGCAGCCGTGTTTGCCTGGTTCCAGGAAAAAGGCCCTGGGAATGCGGGGGATTTGTGGGAGAGGATCCCAGCCCATAACCAGGGTCAGGGAGGAGTGGACTTGGAGTGGGTGATCCTGGAGATCTTTCCCAGCCGAAATAATTCTGGGATTCCTTGTCAGGCCTGTCCTGGGGTTTAAGGCTCCGTGGGGAGGCTGAGCCGTGGGACAGACCGGGAATGGTCTGTGGGGGCTCTGCCCCATCCCTAAAACAGCGACCTCGGAATTCCCCGGGGCGCCTTTCCTGGGAATGTCAGAGGGGACCGTCCCCCTGTATCCACTGTTCCATTTTATTTAGTAAAATCCCTCAAAATATGGGAACAATGGGAGCTGTTTGATCATGGCTAAAACCTCTCCCAGCACTTTATTTTCCCTTTTCCCTGCGCTGGCGGAGCCGCTTCCTTGGCATTTCTCTGGGAATGCTGGTGGGATGGGGCTTTCCGTGGGCTCCGGAACATTTCCACTGACACAACCTTTGGGGTTTTGGAGCAGCAAAGGTGGAAAAAACGTCCTCAACGTCGGAAAATAAACTGCAGCTGAACGGAAGCAGGGCTTGGGAAGGGAAACAGGGAATTTCGGGTGGTTGCTGGTTCCTACCCGAGGGGGCTTGGAGGTGTTTGTCCCAGAAACATTTTCCTGGTGCTTCCAGAGCCAGGATGAGCTGCCTGGCAGCGGATCAGCGCAGAGACAGGAGCCAGAGCTCGGCACTGACAGGGCTGGGGTGGTGTCTGGGAGGTGTTCCGGGAGGAATTCCACCGCTCCCGAGGGGTCTTCCTGGCTCAGAGGGTCCGACCTGCCCCGGGATGTCCCGGGAAGGAATCCCTGCGGCAGAGGGACGGCTCAGACCGAGGGGATTTGCTGTTCCAGGCCGGTTCCGTGTGAGTTGGTGGGAGCTGAGCAGTTCCCTCCGTGGTGCTGGGGTTGGGATCCCACCCGGGTCTGGTGGATTCCCTGCTGGGGTGGGACTGGGGGGTCTGGAGGTGTCTGGAGGTGGGAAGTGTCCCCAGGCTGAGCGTTCGGAGTCAATGGGAACAATAAAGGGGGATCCAGGTGGGGATCTGTGGATTTAAGAGGCTTTTCCCAGTTCTAGGACGGTCACAGCTGTAATGGGGGGATTTAAGTAGGGCTGCTCTGGAGGACTTTTCTGTTTCCTTGAGTTGTTGCCACCTGGGGAAAAGTCCTGGTTTCCGTGGGAAGGAGAGGCTGCTCTAATTGTGTCGCGCTCCCGCCTCCAGTTCCCGGGGCAATCCCACCTGGAAGCCGGGAGGGAGTTTGGAGACGGGGCCGTGCGTGTCCCTGGAGCGGGTCAGACCCCCCGGGAGAGGGTGGATTGGTGTCCAGGGGGTTTGGGGAGGGGAGCTCCGAGCCCGGGCCGTGTCCTTGGAAGCGGCCCCGTTATCCCAGGGATGTGCTGGGGGTTTGTCCGTCCGTCTGCGCAGAGTTTTGGGCTGCTGTCTGAATCCAGAGGGCTCGGAGAACTGGCAGGGCCATTTCCCAGCCGAGGTTGGGTGTTGCCACAGGGCTGGGGAGAATTTTGGGAATTTGCAGCTTTTAATCCCAATTCCTGCTCGGGAGGCCTCAGACAAAATTAAGGAAAATAACTGTGGAAATAAGAGCTCCTGATGTGTTTTTTTCCGGGTTCTCTTAAAATAACAAGGAGTGAGGAATCCACCTCTCCCTGCCCATTATCCCATTGGCATTGATGGGGTGGCACGAGCAGGAATTACAGAACCAGCTCCTCCGATTGATCTCTCCCAAATTACTCATCCAGTAATTAATTCCTGGCTCTCGCTCCTCGTTGT